CACACACCCACACTGCATTAAAATAACAACTTCGAGTGATATTTCATCATCATGAAAGAAATATTTAATTGTAAATATCATATGGTGGATCTCCACCACTGTCTTTCGAGCTCTTAACGTATGGAACTTACCTTCTCATGTGTCATAATATGCGTGCCGACACGAACTTTTGCAAATGACCCTTCACCAATTGTGTCTCCAAGTACGTATCCCCCGACTCGTTTTCTCCCGGGGGTAATCGTCCCCTCAGTAGCTTTCCGCTGCTGCATCGTCCTCTGCTGCATAATCACCCCATAATTATAGAGTATATTGTTATGTATACTGCAGGCCTAGTGGCAAGACTTCCTCTACACTGGTTGACAGGGGAGAGAAAGTCCTTGTCTAGTGCATGCTAGCTTCAATCGATCGAATCATGATCGATATTTTATCAGAGAGAATTACCGTTGCATTCATCGGAGTGAGCTCTTCTGCCTGAATTAGTAAATTGAATTCGACTGGCTGTCAGTTGGTGGGGTCAAAAGTCGCGCAACGGTGAGCAGACGACACGTAACTAACCGATTACAAGCTCGCACCGTTTTAGTTTCTTTCCACCAATTTTAATTCTACCGAAATTGAAAAAAAACCCAAAAAAACCCAAACATATCCGTTCGGTTGATTTCATGATGCTATGCCTAACCAACTACTGTACTTCAAACTTCAATGGTGGGAGGCAGATATAACCTGCATATACATCCTTGTTACCGGAACCAATGCATACACCCAGCGTACTGGATTATTATTGGAACTTATTCAAGAAAACTACTGTAATACGATGCCTATACTAATTGTAAGTCTCGAATAGTATTAAAAAAAACCCAAAAAACCAGGAACAATTTTTATTTGTTACGTAATTATTGAAATTGGTTACTATTGTAGAGTTACGGATCAGTGCAGGGGTGGCGACAGGATTTGCCCAATGGGGGGGGGGTTCGAGGTCCCCGATGGAGGGGGACGTAGCCCCCGACGAGAGCAAAGTGGGCATGGTCGATCGAGCGTCGCTTAAATGTTTCAAAAGTAGTGCACTGCGCGAAGCCCCCCAAAATTTTGACAATTTACGGGTTTCAAAGCCTTATATAGGGCCTAATCGATTTCTCCATCACCCCCACCCCCGACGCTCTAGTCTTTTCTGTCAATTTCAAAACAATGATATTTCTCCTGGACAGATGAGAGCTTCCGACATTTTGTCTAGTATAGTTCTCTATCTTTTGCAGACAATTTGCACCTTTAGCATGTTCACATCTTAGTTTGCAAGAAACCATGCAATGATACTGCTAATCTCATTCGGCTAGCTTATCACCTCCACCACCACTAATTTCATCTGGTGTTGTGTAAATATTTATTCACAGCATTCTTTTCATGAGCCATCTCTCTGGACGATTATCTTTTCTGCACCAGAAAGCCATTCTTTTATCTTCGGTTTCCAGATGTCCTGATATACGGTAATCTTTATTTATTTATTTATTTTTTTCATTCAAAAAGCTCCCCTTGAATTTTCCAAGTTGTCAAAAGAATCCCCTCAATTTTCATCTAATTCTTTTTTCAGAAGCGCCGTGCACTCCCTTAAAAAAGTGCAAAAAATTATTTAAGCTCCTGGGCGCTTATTCGCGCGCGTACGTTATCCCCAGGCCAGTGGTGTGACTTAATTTGTGGGAGGTTCGTTGCAGGGAAAAGTGGATCCAAGTGGATCCTTTGGCTTGTATGAACTCAGATACTCCCGAGAACATTGTAAATATATCTGCGAATATCAATTTTCCGTTTTAAATGCGGACCTTCTCCAGTTTTTGGGCGGTTCGTCGTAACCCCCTTAACCCCCACCATTGTTTAACCTTTAACTTGTTCAAAGTTGCTATTGTACTAGTAATTTTTTCAATTGTTTAAATTCGTTAAAGGATATTTATAGATTCTGCTACAGATACTGTGTCGTTAAAGCCATGGATGCTCCGGAGGAATTTTTTTTAGCTCCGGATGAGGAGCTCTGGGAGTACCCTGCTGACTGATGATTAATTGATCTTTATTTGTATGGGCGGCCGTTAGGCCCAATATACTCTATGCATCTATTATTTAATAGATGTGTTTAGCTCCGATGAGAAGCTCTAGAAGTTCCCTACTGATTGATTATGGGGGCCACTAAAATCACTCGGCTGATAGATTAATAGATCTTTATTGTATGGGCGGCCGTTAGGGCCAATATACTCTACTGCCTCTATTATATTGCCTTCATCGGAGCTTTCGAGTTCGAGAACTTGTTTTGATATGTTGTACTGATTTTTCTAAGACATGAAATTTATATTTGACGAAAAACTGGGGAGCAGTTAATGAGGTACAAATCTTTGAATAGTTAAAAGATCTTTGAATAGTTAAAAAAAAATAGCTCAAATATTCAAAAATCTGTATCTCATTAACTGCTTCCGAGTTTTTCGTCAAATATGCTTTTTGTGTCTAAAGTTTCGTCTCCACTATCAAATTTCATCAAAAAAGCGTCACATAAACATGGAGTTGAACACGTTCAACTTTTTTTTTTTATACAATCTGATGATATGTGATATGACGTCATCGTACCCATATTTGGGCACATCACATTTTTTTTGTCACATAAAATTTGATAGTGTAGACAAAGCTTCAGAAAAATCAGTTGTACAACATCATTTTTTCCCTCCGGGAGACTGGTTTTAAGCCAATACAACTCAGTATTGGTATCTCCTTACCAAACATTTTTCAGTGACAATTATGAATGTTTAATAAAGAAACTCAAACACTAAACTTAGGCAAAATACGATATATATTTTTTCTATTGCAAAAATACAACTAATGGAAATGCTTACATAATACACCGAAGCGGTTTACTATACACTAATTATAATTTTATGTAATGTTGTTCAACAATATCAAAAATTAATTGTTGAATTGCAATAATGTTCACAAATAATTATTTCAATTATAAACATGTATAGTCAAAGACCAGCAGAATTAGCAGAATGACAGCATATGTTGAAACGTTCAGTACACAAAAAAAAAATGAATTTAATTTGAAGGGGAGATGAGGGTTAACATATCCATTGAATATATGTAGTATGAATAATTACGACCTTATTGATTTTCACAATCTTTCCAAGCTCGGTAATGAACATCCATGGAGGAATTCTAAACTAATTCCTCCATGTTTGAATCAAAAATCGTATACATTACCATACGGTAGGCCTATTGGACAATAATAATTTTTAAAAAAAGGCTTGGTCTAGCCATCGCTTTAAAGCCGGTACATAGCTAGACGTTTTAGGCTTTTTACGGTTTTAGGCCAACCATGAAAGAAATATTTTTCTTTTTTTGTTTTTTTTTTTCTTTTGCTCGAAGTTTACTTCGGGGTTATTTTATACATATTTAAACAAACCCCCGTCCAAGAAATTACACATTTCGACACTGGTATTAATTGTTAGGGAATAACAAACGCTTTGGAAGCGTTGGATTGAAAAGTCAGCGAGCTTAAAGCTTGTTTTTGTCAGCAATATATAATACATGCTTGTTACTCTTTATTTTAAACACTATATAACATGTTACATAATATGGATACTACTGTATGCGGTGACAACTTCAACAAAGGGAAAAAAAATTAAAATTAATTTTAAGAACATTTGGAATAATGGACCTTTTCGGAGTGTCAAACTTAACAGCTGACCAATGAGGACAAAGCCAAGAATACGCGCTTGTCCCACCAACACACACACACACCCGTGCTGTCTCACAAACACACGTGTTTACGTACGTTTACGTTATCGTTTTGTTTGAGCTTAGCAACGATATGAGGGGCGGGGCATCTGCGGAAAGGTCTATTGTATTACCGCCACCATATAGGATAGCTACGTCGTCTTCTTTTTCGGCATTTATTAATAAGTAGCGCTTATTTAGCCGGCAGCATGCCTATTCGTTTACAAATTATTTTCATGATTAGTGAGGGCGCACTCCAAATCTAATTTTAAGGATAGGCACATGAGGAATTGTAGCCGGCAGAATAAACACTTTGTTATTAATATTACCGAACAATATATGCTCATTTACTTATGACTTATTTAATTACAATTGATTCGCACATTTTAGAAATCGTTTGCATTTTGATTCATAGGAGTTCGTCTGGACGACGGCTTAATTACAGCACAATATGAAACTAATTCAGCTTCCGAAGTAAAAACGCAGAATGTTCTTTTAAAAATCTGAAATACTGTAAGCATTTTAAACTTAACATCTTTGCGTTCCGTAATCTGTAGGCTTCAGAAGTAACAAAAATGACACAAGTAAAAATTTCAGTTGTCGTTTTGTAGTACATTGTCTTCAAAGTTAACCACCAACGAATCGTGACTGAAGACTTTATTGGTCATGGAAAATTTGTCTAGGCTTGCCGAAGTTTTGGCCCGCCTGACTAGCTCCCTTGTTAGAACCATATTGCAGACTATGGATATATTTGCCTGCTTGCAGTTGTTCCTCAGTGAAATGGCGTTCGTTCTTAGTAGATTGTTTTGGTCCAAGGTTTGGTCCCTCGTAACCGGGCACTCTCTGTGCCTGTGAAGTAAAGATATATTTTGTTTTTACAATCAAATTATAGCTCATAACTTACGCCAATATACAAAAATACTAAGCAATTCAAATAATGAATTCGATTGTTTAAACTTATTAGCTCGACAAACTGTAAGTAGGCTTAGAGAACAACAATCAGGCCGTTATCCAGGAAGGGTGCGATGGGCGCATACTCACCTCCCTCTTTCCCAAATCGGAACAAACTCAAATGTTTAAGAAAGTCAATTATTAGGTCTACTAGGTATAAAACTTATTTTCTGTAATAACGATTTTAAAAAGTAATCTTAAATGTTGACATTAATTTATTACCCAGTAATCTATCATTATTCCAGTATTTGGGCAATAAAGTTTCCGTATTGTATGAATTGTCCCCTACCTCGAGGAGAAGGAGATAATGAGTAAACATTTGTGGTTCATATTATCCAATTCAATGAATTTCCTGAGCTTTAAATGACACACAGTCGACGGGAAAGGACATTACGTAAAAAAGATAAATAAGTAGGCTAGTAATTCTACAGTACAGTATATAATTGTTATGGAGTAGGCCTATACGAGTCTACATTGATTATAAAGCCCGAAGCTGTGATCCACCGTCTCTGACCATTGACCACTACTGTACTAGGATTCTAGGCGACCCCCATACACAAGTTGATTGTGACCCCAATGACAATCCTGGTTACGGCCATGAAAAAACAACATTCAGCTGATTACAAAAAATACATAGCAAATGCACAGTAGCACAATAAAATTATAGGCCTAAAGACATAAAAAATATAGACTAGCATGCAATATAAATGAAAAAACAGCAAAATCAAAGATTAAAATTAGAGTCGCTAAAAATATAATAAATCTAATCAATTTTGAATATTAAAACAAAAAAAAATTGGTTTATATACATGATATAAAGTCATGCAGACACTCGCATGTCTGCAAACGAACAAGTTAGCAGTTAAAATAGAAACAATGCTTCAAATATTGGTTGTTATAACAAAAATATTTTTAAACGCCACAGTAAACCAAAAATACAAAATAAAAGAAGACAGAATTAAAAGGAATACTCAAAACTATTTATAAAATGTCGTAAGTAAAAGAATTCACGTCAACACAATTCATGTTAAAAAAAAAAGAGAGAAAAATGGGGGCCCTGCTGAACATTTACTGTGGTCTTCCAATCACACAGGCAGCATCGTTGATTTGATGGACTTCAGATCATTTACTGTAGGCTTGTAGTCAAACCATGGAGGTATTATTGAGAAGGAGATCACTCGGCAACAGATCCCTTTGACGCGACAAACCTATGTGCTGTCTCTTATACACATCTAGATGTGTATAAGAGACAGATCTGAAATACTGTAATGATGTCAAGCGTAAGAAGAGGTGGGACCATCAATGGCAGAAATACTTTACAAAGATTCATTTGAAATACTTCTTTAATAAGGGCAAATAGAAATTGAAAATTTGATGGCGGGGAACACATGGGACTTCAAAGACATCGCGCAAACGTTCTTTACGCGCTGCGGCAACTTTGATCTTGGTTCATTTGCATAGCGCTGCGTGCGCGTAGCTTTGCCGAGTGATCTCCTTCTCAATAATACCTCCATGGTCAAACACAGTTGGGACCTCATGTAATAAAACGTTTGCCAATGAGTTCGATGTAGAAAATTTTTGACCAATAAAAACCGGCGTCAGCAGATGCGATTTCACAAGAACGCGACGAGATGATACGACGCTGCATCGCGCGACGATGATGATCCGCCCAAAAGCGTTGTGCGACGGGCAGCAGACGAGCATTTGTACGACGGGCAAGCGATAATAATAACACAGATAAATAGGCTTAGTGCCAGCATTCCTACTGTTTTTGACAGATTTGAACGGTAGGCAGCAAAATTAGTGTGATTCAACTGCGGTAAATTGATCCTCAAAAATTCCTTCCTCAGTTTGAATCTAGCTAAGAATTTGTTAACAAAAACAATGAACGTTCTCATAAAAGTTAGCGATAAGGTAAAGGAAGAACATAAAAACACTGACGAGACCCGTTTTTACGTCCTTTCAGAAGTTACTCTCCTGGCGACACTGCTTTCCCACTTTTGAGATTTCCAAGCATAGTTTTTGTATCATGTTGTAGTCTATTTCATCTATTACAATATACTTGCCTAAGTCGACTTTGCATAACTCGAATCATTTTCTAATTCGATCTTACTTTACATGCCACATTGTTGTGTTTTCCATTAACGATATGTAAGTCGAATTTTATCAGAGTCGAAATATTTTTCAATGCCACTTTGGATTAGACTTAGGTTAAGTTAAACTGTAAAACAGCAACACAAAACAAAATAACTAGTATATTTCTACGTATAACATCTTTATTGAGACCTAATCAAAATATATACCTACTGTGCTTTAAATATATATAAATAATTAGCATTTTAACTTAAACATTAAATATGAAACCGAATAATTGATTATTGCTGAGTGGATTGATTTACCAACTAAATACATTTCATGATTCGTGAATATAGAGAGTGGGTATACATAATTTGTTTCACTATCTCGTGAAAAACTTTACAACTGGCTTATTATCAATTGACAAAGATTGAAAACATTTTTCTCTATTACACTTTGCTTGGATTTGATATCATTATCTGTTCGATGACATCTAAGTACAATAATAATTAAGTATTTACAGTATTATTTAAGATTAAATGATCTCTTGCACGTATGCCATGCACGCAGTTGTTGGCCTCACCTATGAAAACCGTAATAGTAGTCTGTAATATTGGGTACCGTACTTAAGATAAATTCGACCGACACACACCAAATAAAGATCGAACAAAACGCATTTGGTCTCATGCAAAATCTAACTGTGAATTCAATGAACACTTGACATAATGAATAAAAACTATTTTAAAACGATAATGGTGCAGCAGAAAAAAAAAATATTTAGGCTATAAATAAAAGATATAAGGTCATGATACAAACGATTACCTATTACACATCTTCCCTTCTTTTCTTAAAAATTAATTTATCAAAAATTGTCGCTTCAAGATGTTAAGTATTGTGATATCCAAGCTGATAACATCACATATACAGGTGCCTACACTCTTAATAATATTAAAATTTAACATTATGGATCCAAAATATTAAAAAAGAATTGAATGATGGCATTTAGTATTTTTATTTTTATCTATTCTGATTGTTAACAATTTTGCATTTGTTTCGCAAATAATGGAATTAATGTACGATATTTCCTTAAGAACCATCGATGGTTTGGGCAAACCAATCATTATGCCAGCACACACGTTTTCTTGTATACTTCCCCTGAAATTAAATTTCGCTGTTTACAAAAAAGAAGCTAGAAATGACAAATGTGATTATAGGCCTACATTACATATTTTCGTTTTTGATATCACTTAACATTGATTAATGAATCAATTATTGAATATTGTTGCATGCTATATTAATTAATGCCACAACTGACTAATGAGTACAAGTTGGCAATATCTCAGAATTTTCTTGACCATATGAATACAATGGGCTTCATTACTAAAGCGATTGATTGCATTAATCGCTTAAATTCTTTGACAACAACGTAGTCTAGTATGTTGTGCTCCCGTCTCCGTGCTTTTGCTTATCAGTAACTTGTCTTCCCAGACCAAAGTTCTGTCCGGCCTGGGAAGCGCATTTGTTGGTTCCCATTTGCAGGCCAATGGTATACTGCCCGGCCTTCAGTTGCTCATCAGAGAATTCCCGAACGTTCTCATCCGCCTGTTTGGGACCAAGGACAGGTCCATCATAAAGTGGATTTTTTTGTGCCTACAAAAAAGAAGACACCATTTTGGGTCTGTTATACAAATAATTGCAGCTTATCATAAAAAAAAATGTATATAACTCTAGCAACAGTTTTTACTTCAAAATATAAGCTCTTAAGCCCTCTGTCTAGACTCAAATTTTTTTGACAAAAACATGTGACATGCCTAAATATGGTCATGACATCACATCATGACCATATATAGGCAAATCATGACTATATATGGCCATACACAGCTTTACATTAAGTACTGTAATTCATAGGCTTTGAATTGAAAAATTTAAGGAGAAAATAATTCCCTAGCCAATTAACAGCCACAAATAATACAGTTGAATACCTATATAAATTGGCTGGTAATCAATTTAAGGATGTTTTTATTTTCTATTATCTAACTTTGAATTGTTTTGATATGTGTCACCAAGTATCTTTAGGGTTTTCCAGATTTTGACTACAGAGTGTATATTTAACGATAATTAGACCTAGCAACGAAATTGATGTTACAATGAAAAGTCCATCAGAGAAAGATGATAGCTAAATTTCAGAACTTAAAACCAACAAGAAATGTTACTGGTATATAATGTACATAAACTGATAAGTATGTGAGTAAACTATGTTTTACGCACGAGTATTAATATAATACAAAGTACATAAATACGCTGTTCTATTAACACGATAACGTTTTCTGCGACAAATACAGTGATCTGCCTATATGTGGGAATGAAGGTGTCATATCACACCCATATACGGTACCTGTCACATAAAACCTGATATTAAATGTGGATAATTTAGGAAGGTTTCGTAGCCTTACAAGAACATAATACATAGCATCATTGTTTTCGTTATATTTGCTGTATATTATCATGGAGGTGATATTAATGTATTGCTTCACAAATTCTGTAAACAATTTTGCCGGCCTAATGCCCTGTCCAGACTATTAAATTTTTTTGACAAAAATAAGTGACATGCCTAAATATGGTCATAATGACACAATGTTATGAATGAGACTTAATAGCGTACGTTTACGCTGTCGTTTTGTAGAACTGTTGTAACAATATTCAAGGGGTATGGCTTAGCAGAACAGTAGGGGCAGACTTAGGGGGTGGGAGCGAGTCAGCCCGCCCCAGCCACTCTTTTGGAAACTAAAAAAAAAAAAAAAAGAAAGGAAAAGAACTTATTGATCACCAAAACACCTCAGAGGCTATTTCCAAAAGTCTAAAAAACCAAAATTCCCCCAGACCCCCAGGATAGTGTTGTCCCTTGATTGCCCTCCCTCTTTCGGCCCCCTTTTCAAACATCTCTGGATCTGCCCCTGGAATTGTCCATTTGACTAAAACTCCTGATTTACAGCGATTTACCTGACAGTTCCGGAAAACAGTTGCAATTGAATCAAAGTTAATCTGATTTTCATTTGACCAAATTATAATTTGGTAAATAATGTTAAAAATGTTTTCTCAGTTATAATTAGGAAATAATGGATATTTTTGTAAATGCAGATAGGCAGTTTTGAAATTGTAATATTTATGATGTAATCATATTTTTTGTAAGCTTTCAAAACCTTCCTAATGACGAATAAGTTTAACAACAAGCATATGCTAAGATAGTATAGAAGAGCACTGAAGAAAGTAGAGAAATCATGAAAAAAAGAAGTTTCTTAAAGAGAATATTATGTACAAAGAAACACGATAGAGAGTAAAAACACAAACAACACGAATGAAGATATATTTGAGCAAGAACTGAACTGGATATTGCAAATTTACAAATATGTGCGAACATACTTTCTTTGGAAGAAGATTTTAAAGACATATGAAATAAATGACACCCACATACACGTTTTGAATTGTAGGTGTTATTTATTTAAATGAATAACACCCACAATTCAAAATGTGTATTATGCCTAAAATATATTTTCAACAAATATTTTAGCCAAACATTTTTTTTTTTGTCATTGATTGGTGTTAATATTTTCTTACTGATTGTAGAGGGTGGACTGGCTATAGTTTGTAACCCATTTTTACATAATTAAAGGGGGTTCACACTAAAAGAATACAACAATAATATATCAAACATAAAAAAAATAAATAAATTACAAATTTATGTTGGGAGAAATTGGGAAATTGCCTTTTTTTCACGCACGGTAAAAACGAAGATTAACGAATTGGACAAAACCCCAACGAGAGAGATCAGGAAAGAAAAGTGAAAGATTGATTGAGAAAGATGAAATGATTGAAGAATGATAAAGGATAATAATCAGTCTCACCTTTTTCATCTTGGTTAAAATCTTGGTTTGTGCCATTATATTTAATGGCCTCAATTTAACTCTGTTTTTACGTGTGTGTATTCTTGGTGAGGCAACCGATCATGCATTTCTCTGCCGTGTTGTGCAATTACAAATAAATATTTTGTATAAAACATAACTGACATGCTTGGCTAGTTTTATACATTACTCTGGGGATGGATTCACAGGGGTGTCGCAACGTCCGAACACCCTGAATAATTGGAGTTTTTAGAATAAAAAAATTAACCATTTTATACAGACGTAGGTCACTAACATTAGCAAGCGGCTACTTGTCGGAAAACAAATGTAAACCATATTTTTAAAATGGCAAAACTTGGATATTAATTAAGTTGTAGTCATTCATGACAGTGTTCCTAAATGGTTTTTTGTTTCACAATTTTAATTTAATTTGGGCTTTATGAGACTACAGTTTAAACTAATCCAATCAATCATTTAACCTGTAAGTTTAAGTTTAATAACTTGTAAGTTGTATTTATACAATTTACAAGTCTCTATGCACCAAAAACGGGAATGCTCAGACAATTGTGAACAGTTTATCTAAATCGATATGGCTATTAATAACAGAGCTGTTGGGATAAGACATCTCCAAATTGCTCCGAATAACAACCACAACATCAATAACAGCAACAATAAAACCAACAACAATAATAACAATAATAATTATAATGATTTTTTAAGTATTACAAATGATTGGAAATGCAAAATTATAATAATTAAACTAAATAAAAACAAGATACATAAAAAAAAAGATACATAAACACTTAGAAATTACTTAGACTTGAACAACATTTTTGAAGAGCATACTGCAGCTGTTAAAAAAACATGTTTAATGAATTATAATGAAACTATAGCCATAAATTCCTTGGCCTTTGATTGATAGCTTGACTAAATTATTGATTTGATCCACATGAGGGTTGAATACAGCTCGTTGATTCCCCAATCAATACCTGGAAATCATTATTGTGTATACTGAAAATGAAATAAACATGAATAAGAGTTTTTAAATATGTACATTATGCTACTTACATGGCGAGCAAGCGCAATGATACATGAGGTGACCACGGCGATATTCTTAGACTCATACAGGTCATTGACCTGGAATAACTCCATTTCCTGTAGGCCAAATGACTTGCATCCATCAATAAAGTTCTCAATGTTACATCTGTGCTTGAATGACATGTTGCCAGTATCAATTTTTTTGGTGAACCCTGGATGGAATTTTTTCAACAGCCTGATATGATAATAATAATTTAATAACAATAATAATAATAATACAATAATTATCATTAAAAAAAATACCTTAACTGCCTATGTTAACCAGCCTGATATGATAATAATGATAGTAAAATAATGATAATAATAATATACTTATACATATAATTATTTATAAAAAAAAATATCTTTACTGTACTGCCTATGTTAACCAGAAACAAGGAAATTGTTTTGATATATTTTACATATTTTGTATATAATTTAAGTATTACATTTATTAGCTTTAAATTAATTTCTTTGCCATTTTAGAGATGCATACCTGTACATAATTTGCATAAATGAATGGTAATAAAATTACAGAGAAAAAGTTGATAACTTCTTTAATCTTTTTAAATGAGCAATTTTTTAGGGTTTTACTTATTTACAGAAAACATGTTTCTTTGCTTCATTTGAAAACATCTTCAGTACTAATTATTATTCCATGTTTAATTGATTCCTAGCTAGTTGCTTACAAGCAATTGTACAGGTGTATTATTTACATAAATATTAAAAATTATTTAATTATTGAATGTTGTTTTTGCATTAGACTTTGATATAGGCCAGAGGGCTTCCTTAACTATTAATTGATAACTTCTTTGAACATTTTCAAGCATCTAGAGAATGTTCTCACCTCAACAACCCCAATCAGCATGGACTAAAGGTAGTTGTTGACTTTCAAAACAGCTGCACACCCCACCCCCTCCCCACCAACTAAGGCTCCTGTGGGACCAAGACATTTTGAGCAATGATTGAAAATGTCTGGAAAAGGGTAAGAACCAGAGCTTTACAGCAATTGTGTTAAAATAACTTAGGTTAGTATTACACATACTTGCACAGTATAACGCCATCCTTGAGTGAATCTGGATATGTAATTTCCTCACCAACATGAAATACAATAAAGTCTCTGACATCTTTCTCTTCTCCAGGCTTTCTTTTACCTTCAATCTGTGTACAAAAAAAGTCAAGTTTGACAATCTGACAACAAATGAGGGCAGTATACACTATAAAACGTTAGATAGAATGGGGGAAGTATACTGAGCTATCTTTGGTGTGTTGGTGTGTTTAATACTGAAAAAATCCAAATCAAAATACTTCAGATCAGAGCGAGTGCAGTATTCTGAAGTACAGTGGTGTGTCTATACAAACAACTACAATGATTTAAAAAAAAAATATTTTAAATGATCAAAAATTAAAAAAAACAAACACAATTGAATAATTTCAAGCTGCCAATTGAATAAAATAGTTTATGAATAATTTTTAAGTTGTCAATTGATGGAATAATTCAAATCCATCCATCTCTGCAAATTATCTTAGGAGATAGTGTGATTATGCTCATGTGGAGGCCCCGTTGTATGTGCAGATGTGGGGCTGTGTCAATCAAATTCCCCATCTCTATTCCTTATCATCAGTGATCTCAGAGACCACCAAAAGCTTTGACTGGGCCAAGTCCCTACCTCTCCCACCCCATGTACAGGATATTTGGAATACTGATTCTTTCATAGACTTGCCACAAGTCTCTTATTTTTTATTATTTTTCTCATTCTGGGCAGCGCCACCAACGAGAAAGTTAATTTAGAGATAGACGGAATATTAGTCTAATTCGAAAAAAGAGAAATCGAGTATGGGACACCAATTAAATTAGGTATGGCACGCACTAAGTGCAATAAAGAATGAGTAACCTAAAATTAGGGCCTGGAACCCAGGCTAATTCTATCGCTGTACTGACCTTCTGCATCAATATGCCAATAATCAAATTGATTTTTATAAAGTATTCCATTTTAATCAAGCATATTTAATAGGGGTTGGCCATGTGTTAAAAGATATATTTCCCCTCGTTTCATGGAGTGTCCCCATATAAAGGAGTGTCCCTTAATATATAAAGTTTGCATATTATTTTGCAATGGTATAAAAAATTAAAATAGAACCACTTGCAGACAAAGCAGATTTTGTGCATGGTCTCCATGTTTGGGAATGATTTAGGACAAATTGCAATATTCAAAAGATCCTGTACATAGGGTGGGAGAGGTAGGGACTTAGGTCAGTAAAGCTTTCTTGGTCTCTGAGATCATTGATGATAAGGAACCTGATAGGGATGGGGAATTCTCTTTCTAAAAACCTCTTTAGTGTATCACAATAAATTATATACTAATTAGTAATTATTCCACAAGATTTCAAAGCATTGTTCTGAAACAAATAAACATTTTACTGACTATGTGTACTATAAAAATGTGTACAATAAAAATAATAATATTAATAATAATAATAATAATAATAATGACAATAATAATAATAATGATAATTCTGAAAATTTTTATGCATCTTTAAAATGCACTTCAAAGATTAAACTACACTTAGCTCAAAACCAATTAATTATTTTAATTATTTATTTACATACATTTACATACATACATAGATACGTACAGATTATATACAAATAAAACACAAATACATTTTGAAAATAAAACAGATTTTAAATGCATAAAAACATTATTACAATTTTTGCCATTGGTTTTCCACATGAATTTGTGGGCTCCATCAAGCCTAATATTCATATTTTTGAATAAAATGTTTCAGAATACAAGTACAAATAAACAACAGAATGATATGTGTTTTAAAGTCATTGGAATTAAAAGCCGCAAACTTAATTCTGCAGATTAAGCCATGCCCTGCTGACTAAATATGGTCAAAAAATGTCAAACAGCTCATTTTACACAATTCTGTACTAACAGTATGTAACCCGCTGTTACCATAACAACAAAGTCAAAGTAGGTCTCCATTTCAAAGTAATTTTGTTTTACTTTCTCACATAAGACAACATTTTGGGAATTTTGATGCAAATTAGAGAATTAATGCCATATTGATTTTCTAAATCTCAATAAAATGTTCTTTTGCTATAAGTTTGTGATATTTTTATTTTTTTCTGGTAAAAGCAATCCACTTCAGTTGAAAGCATTAATAGATACATATGGCAGATTGATCAATGGTCACTATTTTGACCTTTGATAAAGATTGACCTTGTGTCACCCCCTCCCAAATGAGAATTTTTTTAAAAATAATAAGCTGCTAGATTTTCATACAGGGCATCTTGCCTTAAGAAAGGTGTAAAACCTATCAAAATGCCATTTGATTGGGGATATTTTATTCTCATCAGTGTCCAAGCTATTAATTAATATAGGCCTATTCAATTCAGGCCAACATTTGATATAAAAGTTTCAAAATATTAAACCCTATTTTTTATCCCCAGACGAATCTCTCCTATCTTCCCTCTCCCGTAAAAGGAAACTATATAGTCCCAATATCAAAGTAGTGGCATATTATCTAAGTGGGTGTAGAGAGCACCCCCAGCCACTAAACTCTTCAGCTAAAAAAATACTGATGACAAAAAAAACTCAAATCACCTCGTTCTCATGCTATTACTCCTCCCACTGTCTACACCCTTTTGCATGGTGTCCAAAGTTATTATTTATTATTATTATTATTATCACCATTACTATTATTAAATATTATTATTACATTTATCATTATTATTAATGTTATTTTTATTACGATTTAGTGAAATTATTATTATTATTACTATTATTATTATTATTATTATTCTCATTATTATTATTATTATTATTATTATAATAAAATTACAGAAATGCACTGCAATACTTTAAAACAATCATGAAATTATAAATGAGGCTCATGTCTGGTGTATGCCTGAGTTTTAATTAGCCATTTAAACCCCCTCCCCCCACCCCCACACTGATGACACCACTGAATGATTTATTAAAAAAAACTACTGCTAGTCTGATGATAAAGCCATAGAAATGTTGAAACACCTCGAAGGAATTTCCAAATGATCCAGGTTGCCAAAAAGTAACCAACATGTGACCTAACAAGATTACAATTAATTCGTGAATTATTAATGGACAGCTGGCTGGTAATTAATAACAAAAATCAATAGAGAAAAAACAGAGATGGATTTTTTATATTTAATTGTGTTGCTTTTCTTTTTGGCAACCAGCCAGTCAGCCACAATTTTTTTGTTGCTTTACTGGTTAAATAAATAATATGTGATATAGAATTTGTGTGAAGACTAACCAGAACCCCACAAAAAGCCTGTAAGCCTGTAGTATGATTAATAAACAAGATACCCATGTCACCTGTGCTCAGCAGTCACCAATATTACTATAATGCTTTAATATGTAAGGATAAAAAAACACACCCACAAAGCGGCAGGAGGCTGAGACTGTAACACATAACCTAGTCAACATTTTTTGGGTTTTGGTTTAAATATATTTTAAACAAAATGAAAAAAGTCATAAAGAGAACCACTGTATAGGCTTTTTATATAAGGTATGAATTTTATGTACAAGTTTTGAAAATAGAAAATAATTTTCAACTAATGAAAAATATTCAACATAGACATGTACTTGGGTTTTAAATCTGGAAAGTCAGAAAGATAAATATCTTGTTTCCATTTTGTTTTATAAATGCTGTCTCGTGTGCTTGTGTCGTCACCCTTCTTACATCATTAATCTTCCAATAAAAAAAAAATCAATTCAAAAGGTCAAACAAGGTCATAGTGCACCTGACGCTGTGTCATAATCAAGCCTGGGCTTATCATCAATCTCTTCCTGGAATGTCAACTATGAGAAAGCGAGGCACAATCCACATCCATTTATAGAAACCTATTAGTTACATACATCCCTAGAGAATTAGCAAACTCGTTCATAGGTCTATATCATAAAGTATCCTACCTGACTGTAAAGGGTTATTATAAAACCTAATACTACACTTAACTACAGAAAAATATGTTTTACATGAGATTGGCCCTGTAGATCAAAATGTATAATTAATATATTATGTCAAGTAGGCATATAAAATGTTGTATTTGCAGTGATTAGCTGCAACACTGAATTCTCCCAGTGAGCTGAGTAACAGTATGTGTTCTAAAAGGTGTCTGATCCCATGAGTGGAGTAATGGAGTGAAGTATAGATCTTTCCATTAAGAACTATGTAGTTATGAGACTGACGATTAGGTCAGACTATACAAGGATAGTTATGGGAGGTTCAGCACTCATCCCGCACAAGTCTGCTTTACCCTCCTGGCCTGCTGGTACAGTACCCATTTATACTTACTTTTGGGTAGAGAAAGACAAGTAAGGACACAAGCAACTTGCCCAGCGAGGGTTTCAAACCCCCAACTTCAAGGTGATGTTGGCAAAAAATATCTTTACTTCTAATTCTTCAATTGAAAACCAATAACTTACTGTACTTATATACATAAAAAAATAATTTTATATTTATTAGCTCAACAAAGCTCTCCTGAACATACATGAATGGTGTTATATATAGTAGAGGTAGGAGTAACATACTATGTTTTTCAATTTAAACCCTGATTTATCCCTTTGATTGAGGAAGCTAAGAAAAAGAATTTTGGCAAAATATAATTTATATCTAGTTTAAAATGCTCTGCATGTGTGTTAGCACACAAATAATATAGAATAAGGCCACTTTCATATAATATTTTGTACCTTTACAAAATTGGTCACAACGCATACATGGTTGGATATCTATGTCAGACCTAGACCCCTACCAATTGAATGCTTACGAAAATAATTTTATATCTGTGTGGTTTTATTGGTATTTTACCTCGTGAACCTTATTTTTTAAAGGTCACAAGAATAATGATATAGAAGATGAGAAACATGATTTTGTTTTTGATTGGCCATTGGGGGGGGGGGGAATTTCAGTAAAGGTAAGCCTATTTCTTAACCTAAGAACATTAATAAGGCTGAAATGACTGCATTAAAGGCAATGTCAGTATTGTTAAAGTTATACTTTCACAATCCGGGCCTCTTTGAACTGGGGGCCCTGGGGCTTCACCCCGAAAGCCCATAGGAATTACACCACTGGTGTCTCATCTCTTTAAACTTGAAGGATGTCTCTTTCCACACTCAATCCAGGTGCGGAATCCGAGGAATGTCTGAATACAGGAAGTCATGCCAGGCTTCAATTTAAAAATAATTTCATGATCGATGTAATTAACTTTTGGGAAGGGGACTTAAACACTTTTTTTAATTTGCAGGAATGTCATAAGAGGGCATGACAGATTTATCAATTGACTGATAACTAATTTGTAGTTTGCACCAATATTTTCTAACAAAAAATATACTTTAAACACAAACAAGCTTAAATACATAATGACGATACTGTACATCCATTAAAAAATATATTTTACTAAAATAGAAACAAAACTGGTATGCCTATGATTACTTTAAAAGCTTCTTGCTAAATTTTTGGTAAATGAAAAAACATACAGTACTATTTTTTATAATGGTTTCCAAGCACAACATTACAATTGTCAGTGGTCTTAAATTGCAGGAAACTATAATGGCTGTTTGTTCCTTTGTAATAGCCTGTCTATGCAAGTATTCCTTGGTCTATGAATTTTGTTAGTTTCTTGCTCAGTCTTAGGATTAATTGTTTTTCTTTATTATTTTTTATCATTTCACAGTAAATTAAGAAACGGTATTTTGCATTATACATTTATTCAATCATTACCTTTTAATAACAAAAAACAAGACTAGAATAGCAAATAAATCACAATTACTGAGCACATACATTAGAGGCTGTTTTGCATCAAGTTTTATACAAATGTATTATTATGATTTCAGGTGTATACAAAATGGATGAATGTATTTATATTTTTTACACAAGTTTGAATTTTATACAAGCAAAAATTATAAAATTTACCTTTTTTTGAACAGCAGCAGACATCCCGTACGCTTGACCTTTGTTAGCCATTTTGAGTTTTAACTTCGCTGGTAGGATTCCTAAAGGTAAAAAACAACAGACAACACTAGCACCAGTTCCTGACAAGAAGAAACACAAGTGAAGTGAAAGGAAGAATCTAAAGACGCTCAGACTATTAGAAGCATTCCACCAAACTTATCAAGTTGCATCGCCTATTCCACAGTTGCATAATTACCAGATGCTGTCCTGTGATTGGTCAAAGCTTCAAAGATAGGGAGGAGTAATACCCATATATGGGGTAAGGAGAAGGTTAACTAAGATCTATTTTCAACTGACTGATGTCATTGAAGATGGTATTTAATACAGCTAAAGGTGAAAGGTCGTACTGGTGAAAAGCATCCCCATTTGGACATCTAATGTTGGAAGTGCATGCAAATAATGATTAATCTTGAAGATATCTCTTGAATGAACATGTAAATTTAACCAAAGATTTTGAAGAGGAATAAACTCCAAGAAATAGAACAAATTATGTTGAAGATGTTTGAAATGCTATCAACACTTATCATAGGAATCTAAATATAAGGCCATGTAAAAAACAACCTTGTTTAGCATCAGGCCACAAATGACTTCAGACCATAAAATCCAAAAAAAAAAAGCCTTTAAAAGGTCTATTCATAGGAGCTTTCAGGGCTTCATTGGTAATATTTAAAATATTTACTTAACATACAAATTTTTAAAAAAATAAAATGTTACATAATATTCTTGAAGTTTAATCTGCTCCACACATTATAAGATGACAAGGGCATAAGACCAGTAATTAGAATTTTATCATGTTGAAAATCATTTTAAATTCTTTTGCTTAAAAGTGTTTTGTGTGAAGACCACAAAGAAGTTTCAACTTGTTTTGTGTCATCTTTGGAATTCTGCTTTATCATATTTTTGTATCATATCGCTGTATATATATATATATATATATCCACATAAAGTCAATCAATCAATCAATCAAATTTTACTTATTCTGATATTAATTGACACAAAGAAAGACAAACAACTTTCCTGCAATAATATGTCACAAAAACTGCTAAAAGTTCCAAATCAGAATCATTGAGCTCATTCGTAGTAAAATGTCTATAAATCAGCAAACACTATATTATTCTCTCTGTTTCTGATTTGAGGTTACTAAACTTAATTGGTTCTTTTAAATGAACTATTGAAAATTTCAATTGAATTGTGAGGACGGATCATTCCACTTTTTAGGTAGATGGTGTATCCAGGGAGATGTAAAAAATAATTATTATTACTAATACATCTCTCTGGTGTATCATTAATATTTTCCTCCTGTATTCACACACTGGACCCACACATGCAATCCAATCAATGTTAACTCTAAATGAATCACCTTGAAAAAAAGAAACAGTTTGCCACTAATTAAATAAGATGAGGTCCCATTTGTCAAATGTAATTATTAATGTCTAGGTCAGTATCACTTTAAAGAATCTAACTGGCACTAATTACCAACTAATCTACCTGTCACAATCCGCCACTGACAGATATTGCAAAATGAAAATACAGTATAACCATATGTGAGAAATATTTGTCGAACTATGTCAACGTATTGAGGTATCAACAACATTAGTGATAACATTCCAAGACTGCGAGGAGCTGAGCTGAGCTGTGCTAGGCAACTAACCTTTGACCCAATCATTTCAGTCATAAACTTAGGTAATGAACCACTTGATTTGGTTCAAAATATCAAATTAATTTATGACAAGGTTTAAGTGTTGGTGAGACATTTATAACACACAAGGGAATTGAGAAGGAAGCGGGTGGGAGGGCCAAATTTGGAAGGTGATTGAGCGAGGAATTTTGAGCAATTTTGAGCAATTTCATATCGAACTTCATGCTACAATAATCAAAAGAAAATTACTACATTAATTACTATAGAAATCAGTTTATACTATACTTGGAAATGAGGCTGAAATTGCCTGACCTGGTCATACTGAAAAACTACAAAATAATATTATTTTAAGCTGCACTTTTGTTAGTGGGTTAGTCATAAATGTGCAATAATAAATAACATGTTAATTTCGATGTTGTTTCACTATTGTTGCTACATAACCAACATGTTAATTATCAAGGCAGAAATAAAATCAAATGCATTATAATTGTCTGTACTGTATGTAATTTAAAATCTATCCCTCAATATTTGCAAAAGGGTAATAACATACAGCATGAGGTATAAAATACCTCCATGCATACAGTAATTTTCAATTTTAATTTTATTCAAAAACATTCAGAACAAGAGAGATAACATACATAAAAACATTTATTTTCAACACATCATCATACTGTAGGTTTGGTTTTACGCAGCAGGAACATTTTGGTTTCCCAACTCTGAGGTCGGGGGGTTCAATCCCTCGCTGTTGGTTCCACTTGTGTCCTTGAGCATAGCACTTTATCTGCATACTTCTCTCCATCCAGGAGTATAAGTGGGTACCTGGTAAGGTTAATGCTAAAATGCGCTGATTAGCTGCCGCAATGTTATGAAATACTTCCCGGGGGAATAAGTTTGTGTTCCAAAGGCTTTAATCCAATGACCGGGATAATATATTAAATGTGAAGCACATAGAGAGTTTATCATAATGCACTATATTAATCATTATTATTATTATTTTATAGAAAAACATCAAAATACACATGGAAATCAACTAAAGTTTGATCAAATGGAAAACATTTCACTTAGGCCCAATAAAAAAAATATTAGTTTACCACCCTTGCCTGCAAGTCTTCTATGATATTGAAAAGTATATACTTTTGAAGAAAAACAATTTGTAAAAAAATTTGGAACAGAAAATGTTCTTTTTTTTAGCAAATAATTAGTAGATATTGTTTGTATTATGTCAATCACGTATATTACTTTGAGTATCAATGCACCAGCAAACAACCCAAGGGTGATATTTGGCTTTAATAAAATAAAAATAAAACGCCACCCTCCCTCATCAATTTTCCAGCCTAGATAGGGTGATAAACTAAGAATTTTTATTATAGGGTCTTATATAAAATAATGAAATGGGTATCAATTAGAGAAAAAAGTTAACTCTTAAAAGTAGTGGTAAAGGGGCTTTTCCGTTACACAATGGTATGTAGTTCTACGACCCACAGTACATACAACACCTCACTCGTTCAAGCCTGGTCTACTGTACAAACTCAACAGAAATTCCGTATTTTAAAAATTTATCTTTAGACTGACTACAAACAAGCACATTGGATGACAAGACTTGGGTGACCTGATTAGAATGACAGGATCTTATGATGCCTGTGGGCTGGAAATTCCGAAACGATGCCTTATAAATGCAATCACTGACTTCATGGGCGGTTTGTTTGTTCATGATAATATACTTGACATCTTAGCACTGTGATTTATTTTAAGAAATCTAAAAATAAATTTGAAAAAGAAACATATCTTCTTATATCTAAAATACCATTAACAGGGAAAAGGACAAAATGAAATTAGTAATTACGATGAATTTCTCATTTTATGACTACCAAGATAAACTGATGAGTGCTGTCTGTATCTCAGTAGCAATCAAAAGTGGTATGAATTTTTTTTAATGGAGCAAAAATTTTGAATGTTTAGACACCGTCTGATTACTTATATCTTAGCAGTCCATAAGGATTATCAAGAGTTTATAGACTTAAGAGGGGTGAGACCTAGCCTATGATGGGTAGACAGAAACCAGGTACGGACCAGCGGTGGCAACTTAAATTAAAGCCTCGGTTGACGGCCCGGAATAAAAATACCCTTGTAGGGTTAACAGGAAGAGTTTTCATGGCTTTGTATGGTCCAAAATGTGCTTTCCGATCGCAATATTGCAGGTTGGCAGAATAACGTTATTTGGATAGGCAAATTATTATTTTTTTTATTTTTGATCTGACGACCTGGTTGTACGTCGGATGACAGGGGGTCCGGGCAAATGACCCTGCCACCCCCCCACCCACTGGCGCCACCACTGGTAAGGACATAGTGTAGATTGCTGTTATCAATCTAGTAGTGCAAAGGTAAATAAAGTAGTGAGGTGAAGAAGATATGCCTCAATCTGATGTATATAAACAGATAAAGCAAAAAATAACAAAACAATTAAACATTTTGGCAATATATTTTATTGGAATATACAAAAACATATTATTTAACAATATAGCATCTAATGTTACTTGCCTATACTGTATTTTATTTGCACTCTAGGTGGACGGAATGTTGGTCAGTATTTTAGGGATTTAAGACAACTTTTATAGACACTTATGATGAAAAAATATACTTGACTTATAAAAAAATGAAAAATAGAAATATATTTTTTGGTGGGGAGACCAGAAGTAAACCAATATAATGTATCTAATTATTACTATCTAAATTGTAATACTGTACTATTGTTCATGTATAACAATGTAAGTAAATAATTATACCGTGTAAGACAATACCTCTTCTAATTATTAATTAATTTAATAATGAAGTAGAAGAAAAAAAACCAATAATACAAGTATTTTATAAGCTCATATAAAACATACTGAGTCTAAAGATGTTTATGAGAGCAGATAAGCAGTGGCAGCTCTAGGATACATTTTCTAAGGGGGGGGGGTAAGTTGCCAGACCGACCGGGCGGGGGGCTTGAGCTTGTATGCCTGAGGAGGGTGTGGGTTTGTGAGAGATTTTTTTTAAATAGGGACCTCTAAATGGTCAGAAATGGCATTCTACGACTGTGAAAAACATGTTTTGGCTTGGTGTAGGCCTATTTTTAAATTTTGTTTTTGGTCCGATGGGGAGTACTTACCCTGCTGGTGCCAGCAATGCAGATAAGTAGTATTCATGATAAAAATATACATACAACAAAGCCATTTTTAGGACTATTAGTCATATATCAAGGCTTTTGTTTTTTAACTGCTGTGTTATACCAAAAGTCCCAAGTCCCCCAGAATGGATGTCTGCCAACTTGGGGCCCCTGGTTATAGTTTATTTTAAAAAAAAATTATTTCATGGGATTTTTTTTTATCAATTATGTTTTTCTTTTTGTATGGTGAAATATGGCTAAAAAGTATGTCAATTTATCATTATATTTTTTACTGTGAATTGTGTGATCATGAAATGATTTTTAATTTGTATACTCATTGATATGATGATATAAATGTAAAAATATTTAATTTTAAACAATAAAATCTTTAGTTATAGCTTCCTAAAAAAAATTGCTTGGAGCATGTCTATTTACTGTGAAATTGCTCATATATATATATATATATATACACATATATGTACATATACATCATGTAACCCAACATGCACTGCTTCAACAAAAATAAGATAATATTCATCAATGTTCCTTAGCCATCTTTGGTATTATCATTCTAATAAATGACATCACTTTCTAATTACAGAACATGGCAAAGCTCTAGACTACCTTACTGAGATGAACCCATTCAATCACTCAGAATTTTTCTTGAGAATGTAGAATTCTTTATACAATTTGACTTCCTTTACAACTCACTGGAGAAAATGAATGTGTTTACTATGATATGGTATGTTACACCTGCTTACACTGGTGAAATGCTTTGCAAATGACATTTGGATCTTAACTTGGAGTACAACGATGATGTCTACGTTTGACAGCGAGCTAAAAGGACCAGGTGTTGATAAGGGTGATTTAAAAGATGGATTGGCATTACATTCTTTTTGCATTAGACACTGATCACTAGACTGATTAAAGTATTGCTTTATAAAAACCAGGACGGTGGTTACGAAGCCCAAAAAAATTATTTGGGCCAAGATATTACACATACTTATATATTAGCTACTTAAACCTAAAAAATGTTGATAAATATGAATACTACATTTAGAAAACTTTAGTGTACATATATTCAATTCCATCAGATATTTATTCCTATACTTTTTTGTTTTAAGTTACCAATGTTTCTTAATTCATACTTCCACTCCATACTGGTGAGCTGTTAATTTAGGGCATACTTCATTATGTTGTCACTCAGTAGTACTCTAGTCTAAAGGTTTTATACTCCTTTTCAGTCCTTTGTTTAGTAGCATTCTGATATTGGTTGGTGGAGTAAGCCAGAAAATATCTCTCCAACTCCACCACTGAAAAACAGTCGTAACAATCTTGACCAGCATGCAGAAAAAGACATGAAAATATCACCTACCAGTTATCCGGTCTACAAAAATACCTATTACTTCTATTGCTTCCACTGATGAATATACTAACACCATCAGTTAGCAGGGGAGGAAATTGAAGGATTAGGGACAACAATCTGAAATTTATCGATAGGCCGCCCTTGTTGTGGTGATGGTCCAGCCAGCATGAGGTCTGCGGAAAACGTAATCTCATACGGATCTTGCTTTGAAGTGGTAATTTTTATTCTACTATCTGTAAAAAAAGAGAAAAAACGATTCTCTGAATATTTAAAAAAACAATAGCTAATTGGTGTTATATTAAACATATTATGAAAACCACACCCAGACGAATTCAACTCTGCTCCCAGTGAACACTAGATGTCGCAACTCCATCCTCTGATTGTCGGAGGCAGTGTGAAAAGGATCGTCATTAAAAACAATCTGTTGCACATGCATTGTGGCGCTGCGTTCCCCATTTTAGGATCGTGTAACCCGACGATGGTCGGGCACAATGAGTGCACGGCACTCATTTTTTGTCCCTTTATACATTTTCTATTTTTCCTATCTTGATTTTTATTGCCCTTTACCTGTAGCATCTTCAGAAGCACCGCTTGTACCAATGTGTTTCCAACCTGTCCAATAACTAGCGAAAAAAAAAAAAAAACATTAAAAGTTCAACAATTATGTAATGATGCATTGTCTGGTTAAGATAACAATAACAACAGTGAGAAGGAACAATGAAAAAAAAAAACATAATAAATATAAAATAACAATATACATAAACATAAAATAACAATATTCATATATAAAAATCGATAAATTTTAAACCATCTTGCAGCTATTCTATAATAATATGGTGAGTCGTATGGCCAAGCGAAGAGCAGGGGCGCCGCAACCTACAGGAATAATATCGGCGCTGGTTCGAATATCACGCTTGCATATGGTTCTGGTGGTAGGACAATTCTTCTCAAGGCACAGTGTACACAATGGCTTGCGTGCATTATGAACCCAGTACATCATTCAAGTCCAGTAGGAGGATACCCCGTTGTACTGGTACAGACAGCCCCTGTGGCGAACGACAAGAGTTGCTGTTACCGGGTACCGGGTCACTACAATACAATATAATTTGTATTGCAGTGACAATTTTATCATTACTATATAATGAAATTTAATGTAAATTACTATTGATAAGTACGCAAAGGAATAAGAAATTTTGAATCCATTTCAGGAAACTTACTCTTCAAAATTTAATCCAGTTGTCCACTCCAGAAGTTCATCAACTTCACACTCATCAACTGCCAGAAGGCCTTTATTGTCCAAGACCGACACCATGCCTGCAGCAGCCCCCTCTACCATTGAAGCTGTATCTGCATCTCCACTTTTTGACTTCAGCATACCTTCCCTATACCTGTACATAATGAAGATGAGCATTGGGATTGAGTATAATAAAGAATAGTGGGGCACAAACAATATGAAATCAATAAAAATGTAGTCAAGTATTTGTTACTTACATTTTTTTTAACCACTCAACTTTCTTCTTCCTCTTCTTTCTTTCCACATCTTCTTTTCTCTTGAGTTTTGAATGATGGAATTCTTTTGTTACCCTTGAAGACTCCCAAGAAACGGGGTCTTGGTCAGCCCCCACCAGTAACTGCACATAATAGATATAAACATTTAAAGACCTTAGATTGAATATTAAAGGTATTGAATTCTAATGAAACACAGATTGTTTACTATGAAAATTCATCAATCACTACCCAATCTATGGTATAGAAATAGTACTATTTATGAACTTGTTAATTGATGAGAAATAAATGTCCTTATTCTAATGGACGGACCTTCCCACTAAACCTGGTCCTTGGATTTTTGATATGATTCCACAAAATGACAACATAAACGTGTGCAAACACATGCGTTGGTTGGTAACACATGTTTGTGGGAAAAATGTGGATTCATGGCCCTACACCGATTGGTCCGTTGTAAAGTTTGTTTGACACTTCAGAAAGATCCATTACCGAGGAAACGCTAATAACTTGCTTATATACCAAGTAAGCAATTTACATAATAAATCATATTCTTTAAGTTTATTAATCAACACAAACTAATTTATCTTTAAGTACTATTCCAATAAATAGTGGCGTATCAAGAAGGGGGAATGCAGGGGGGAGCATTTACCTAAAAAAACAAAAAAGCTTGGGCTTTTTCCAGTTGCCTCTTCCACTGGAAATGTTCAAAGCAAAAAAAAAGTAGTTAAAAGTCACCTTATTTTGCGAGCTATCACCCCTCATTGAATTATTGAGCCCCCCACATTTCACTTTTGCACACCCATCCCCCTCTAGATAAGCCACTGCCAGTAAAACCTGAATGTTACCCCAATCTAAAACTTACCCTATCTGAGACCAACCTCCATCCGTTATTTTCAAATCTCTTGTACCACCCCTCCTTGTTTTTACTCAGCACCTGTGTCTTGGTTTTATTGTGAACATCTCTAGCGGCTGCACGTTTAGTGCTTGGTTTTGTGTAATCCTTCGGGCTGTTGGCACACATGTCAACTATGTTATGATGAGTATATATCTTATAGTAGATATTTGGAGGAAATCTATCCTACAACGATGGACAAAAAAATCTACATATTAATATAGTACTTAATACATATGGATTTGAGGAAAATTACAATAAAGAAACTAACATGTACATGTAAGACCTGCGCTTTACATGACACCACTCATTGGATTTAATGTATTTAATGATTGTAAGTCATAAGGGCTCATTCACATTTTACCAAGCAGTGTATGTACTCTTTTATGAAAATATAAAAAAGATGATCTGCTGTATATCATTATTTTACTATGTACTTGTTTTGGGGGAGGGAGGGCGGGGTTCACAGAAATGCGAATGAATCACAGTGGCGGATCCAGGAATTTGAAAGAGGGGCCCAGGGACTACAGATGGAGGGTTTAGATAATTTATGATTATGGCATCTCTAGATGGTTGAAAATGACACTCTCACACTTTTCTTCTCCTTCCCCCCCCCCCACCACCTGAAATGTACTCTCTTGAAAACCCCCTAAGATAACTGATTAGTCAAAATTTGAAAGTAAACTTACCCCAGCCAATCTGAATTTGATATGAATGCCTGCAGCTGCATCAAGTAATGCCGCTTCCTTCGGATTAATACACTTGAGCATCATCGAGGGATCCCCTCTACGTCGGAAGTTGATCAAATCACGATAGTACCGGTAAACTTGTACATCCTGTCAAAAAAAATAAGTCATAATTCTAATCTAATTTAAAATACTTGTATATTTTTAAAAATATATATTTCTATGTAGCATATTATTATTCATACATTGAATAAACATAACTATTCATAACAAATATTTACAAAATAAATAATTATAATATTATTAATTAATAAACCGTCTCATTCTAATTAAACGCCAATTAAAGTCCACCTCCAATTAAAGACCACTTTTCTATGATTCCAAATTAACACATGTAATTTATCTTTATTATTCTAATTAGAGAATTTAAAATACTTGTATATTTTTAAAAATATATATTTCTATGTAGCATATTATTATTCATACATTGAATAAACATAACTATTCATAACAAATATTTACAAAATTAATAATTATAATATTATTAATTAATAAACCGTCTCATTCTAATTAAACGCCAATTAAAGTCCACCTCCAATTAAAGACCACTTTTCTATGATTCCAAATTAACACATGTAATTTATCTTTATTATTCTAATTAGAGACCACAGCTGCTAAAGACCATGAAAACCCTGATCCTAAAAGCGGTCTTTAACTGAGAGACCTGCATAATAATAAAATCATAATAAAGAAAGGAACTACAAGATACAGTAGCTTACAATGTGTCTACGCCAGGCTCTCTGTATTATGACAGCTGCATCTTTGGGTTCCAGGGGACCTACCCTCTTCTTTTTCTTCTTTGTGTAATAGATGACTGGTGCAACAGGCACAATTGGCTTGGGGGAGAATGATTCAGGTGATGGGGGAGAGATAGTCACAGACTTTTTACTAGAATAGGTCTTATTTACTGAAGATAGAGATCGCTTTCTACGTAGCTGATGCCACCAATTCTGGATATAGTTTGCACAGAAATGTTCGAATCTGGAAGAATAAATGAAAATGGCTTTATATCAAGGAAAAGGTGATATTCTGGTTGCGGACAACCTGAGTGAATAATTGAATCTTAATTACCAGAGAGAAATAAAAAAACAATGAAAGTTAATCAAAAATTGATACAGCTACCTGTTCAACTTATGATGGGTCACCCTCGATACATTTTAGAAGACTATTATTATGTTGTTTTTTATCCTTTGCTATACCCCTAATAAGAAAATAACATGGAAGAAAAAAAGACTAAAAACTGTCAAAACACAATAATAATTATTATTACTACTATTATTATTAATGTGGTGCCTTCTCTGTGTGTGATATTTATATTTAGAGCATACTATAGTTAGCGTCAATTCATAACTGGAGGTGATTACCCTCTGTCAGTTGATATGAAAATAAAATTTTAAAAAACAAAAAACAAATTATGAAGGATGAAGTAATTTGCTTACGTTAGGATTTGTTTGTGTCCTTTCTTTGTGGCTGAATCTCTGTAGTTGTTGTAATATTTCTGTAGCCTTTCTCTCGCCGCTGCTCCTTTGAATCTAACTTTTGAAGCTGATTTCTAATAAGATAAAGAAAATGAAAGTGTAATTTCAAGAAAGTTAATTTTCGATACGAAAAAGGAAAATAAACAGTAAACATATATTTTTTAAAGGTTATTTTTAAAATGATGATACTCAGTTTCATGGCAAAATGGCAATAAACCAGAACAAATACCAAGTACGAAGCTGGCAAACGAATGCATAATGTAACCAAAGTATTTTGTGATTAAGGCAAAGTAAGCCTAAATGAAAGTGCAATATAAATAATTAAGTTAAAAGTTCCCACATATAAATACGGTTAATCGAAGAGGCACATTCTGCACCTCCTTGGTTAAATTATAGTTCAGCTGTTCCTGAGCATTGTAAAGCTATAACTAATATGCCATGCTTTGCAGTGTCTAAGAATAGAAACAAATTCTTACGTATTACGTACGTGTTGTTGGAGACTGGTTGAAAATCTTTACAAATTCACTTTACTCCTTTAACTGTAAATTATTCAATAAACAGAGAGAAAGTTGAATTTGGTCCGCGGTAGCACTAGCAGGGGTTCTGAGGTAACAGGCCCCCAACACAGAAAACCATGATGCCCGCCAAGGACCACTACTTCAAGAAAAAGCAGTTCCACAATCTGAGGGTGCCATTTCTGGACCTATCCTTAAAATCTTCTTACTCATCTCAGCCCCAACCATGACAGGGTTGATGTAGGTGTGGACCTTAGATCCATCAACGGGGAAACTCTGGCACTGCTACTACTGTATTTAGGAAGAAAAATGGCATTTTTATGGTTCATTGCCTTATTTGGTCACTTAATAGTTATTACCTGTGATACTACAATTTTAGAACTTGAAGCAACTGGTGATTTGGCAAGACTTTTAGAGGATGACTTTTTGATTGGAGATGAAGACTTGGATCTTGGAGGTGTGGCCACATCAAGTAACCTGTGCTCACTAGACTTAAACTGGCTGTACACTACCTCAGTGCTTAGGTAAGGATGCAATCCGGCCAAAATTGCACACCTGAAACAAAAAACAAGATATGTTTAAATGGTTGTATGAATTTGCAGGTATTTAAAAACAGGGATGTAGTTATGGAGAATGGAGGTGGGGACACCATGTTTTATAGTTTTCCACCCAGTCTATCTAAGGCTAGTTTCATGGCCATCAACCCACCTATATTAATCCCCTTTCCCCTCAATTAGAGTTTACCAATGTTGTCCCCCACTCAACCTTATAATGTCTACCACCCTTAGATCTACAGCTACAACCCTGAAAGAAATAGCCTATCTTTCAGAGATCCTGTATTATCATTTAAAGTGCAGATGAATACATCTTCCTCTGCAATTACAGGAAAAATCATTCATATAATCTTTTCATGGTACTTTTATCAATCTTCTAATAATTGATTCACAGATGTTTGCAAAAACAATGTCTTTAAATCAGCAAAAAACCAACATGTTTTACAACTGAGCATCATTGCAAATTAGAGATACAATCTTAAATGTTTTATGAATAAAAGCTTTACAATATCTTGATTGGATTTTTGTGTTTTATCCTATTTTATGACAGTCAGTATAACTTTAAAAGTGAGAGAAAAACAAGAATTATGTCAATGTCATTTATCAGTAATCGACTTTAATTCAGTTCATCCCTACCTTACACAGCTACCTCTCCATAATCTCTGCAGCTCAATTGCAGCTGCCAAACTGACATCCTCAGAGCTGCTGCTCTCCCTTATGATCTTCAGCCGTTCTGATTTGGGTAACCTGGCAAAAACTAGCACTTTGTTATTAGCCTCATCACCTACAAAAGAAGCACAAGAATTGACAATGATAAAACATGAATGCTTTCAGGTAAAATATATACAAAAAATGTGGAAATTGTTTAACTACAAGATTTATATGTTGTTGTTTTTTTTTTACCTGGGAAATTTACCAAATCAAGTATTGCCAGTGCTTCCTTTTTACTAATCATTTTGGTCTGTTCAAAAGGTTCATTCTCTGAAAATCAGAACAAAAAAAATATAACCCTTCCAATTATTGAACACATAAAATCATTACTAGGATATTCAAAACTGTAGTGTTAACTTGCACAAACATGTAATAATACACTGTATTATTGTATAAAAAGATATCAGATTAAATAATATATCAGTTGATGAATATATTATTTAAACTAAATTATAAAAGAGATTTCTGGAGGGAACAACACTGAATGAAAGACTTTTATTATATAAAAAGATATCTGATTATAATATAATATAATCAATTCATTATAATGAATTAATTAATTATAATGAATTCATTATTTCAAGTTCACAATTTCTTGTCAAATAGATTGACATTGGCAGTAACAACATTGAATTAAAGACATACATACAGTATATAATTAAATTTAAAGAAATAATGAAATACTAAAAATCCTGTTGGAAATACAGTAATCTTCGAAATACCCTTAATAGAGATAAATGACAGTAAAACAAAACTTAATTAAAATTAATTATATAATATTACAAAACATGCTTAACGGTGCTCCTTATTATGGACCTCATTCGTGTTGAAACCCGACTAAAATGCCTTGCATATAAAAACCGGCCGAGGTGTGACGGAAATGAGGTGTGACAGAAATGAGGCGTGACCGAAATGATTGGCTACCAGTAATACTATACTAGGGAAATCATAAAATTGATTACCAGCTGATTTGATATGTGTATTATTACATATTTATTATAAGGTATTATAAAACATTTTTATTATAAGTATAAAACATTTTAATATCAAATCAGCTGGTAATCAATTTTATGATTTCTTACTTCTACTAGGCCTAGGCTATAGTAAGTAGTACCTTGCATGTAGTTGGCCTAGGTTAGGGCAAGAGCCTAGGATAGGCCTAGCCTAGGTTGGTAGGTAGCCACGCTACAGGCCTAGCTAGGCCTAACCTCTCTATGCTAAGCCCAGGTCTAGCCCAGCTTTAGGCCCAACATTGACAAGGCTCCTCCTAGAGTCAGGAGGCCTAAACATACAGCTCTCAGAGCTAGGCCTAGCCTAGGCCTATTGGCTTAGTAGCCTAGTCTAATATATATTTTAGAATTAAATTGCACAATAAACTAATGCAGAGCTAAATAGACGCATTTAAAAATATTAAACTTACAGTAAACTACTTTTCTGATTTCACTTTAGTCAACCGCTAGGTGTTACCTTGGAGATCTATTGAGGGCGCTATATACATTTCGAGGACGATCAAGCAACAATAATTTTTGTCTGGTGATACTATAAGTTCTTTGGCAGCATACTTTGGTACAGTTAACAGTTGCTTGGCTCACAAACAATATAAGAAAGAAGTCCGCTATAAGACCTATATTAAGAAAAGGGAAAATAATGCATGTTTTAGTAGCGCCAACAAACGGAAATAATTAATCACATTTAGCTTCTGAAGATTATCGCAACATGATTTGCGAAATGCGATTGGTCAGTTGCAGTAGTGCATAACTGATTGGTGGAAATGATCCAGGGTGAGTTCTTTCCACCAATCAATCAAGTTTTGGCTATGCACCGCCCACTGTAAGAGTCGGTGCAATCAGAAAGGTTTTGATCCCATAACTATTTGCTTTCATTATTAGGCTAAAATTTCTTGATGAGATCTTCTCATTCCGGGCTCGGTAGCTTACGCCCGTGGACATATTTTTGTATTGTTTATTCGTAAATCATTACTGGGAGTAGATTCATTTGTGTTTGTGATAACAGAGGAATCTAGCCTGGGATATGCCCTACTTTTAGACAGCACATTATTATCAGGGATTTATATGTACACTACTAAAAGGCATTATAGGAAAATGATTTCTTTACCTATATGCGTTCTTTTATGTCTAGGCATTCCACGTTCGTTGGCTTTCCAAGAAAAACAAACACGGGTACAAGGCATTGATTTCAATTTACCGAAAGATTCTTCGCTCCATTTGGTTGTAAAAGAGGAGCAAGCATCATTTGGCGGTGGATTCGGATCCGGATTTAACTTGACATTTGACTTTGAAGAAGAAGAAGAAGAAGAAGAAGTAGCTTCATCGGATGTTATCACAAAGGAACAAGCGGAGCATGAATTATCATATCAGACGGTCGATGAAGATGGAAACCTGAAAGACGTCCAAGTGAAACTAAAACATGCGTTCGTTGATTACGTGAACTCGTACAATGATAAGTTAAAGAAGGCTGCGACTGCATGGGATCTTGTACAGCGCAAACGCAATAGACGCAATGTCTTTCAAGAGGATACACGCTTTCCCATACGTGAAGCCGAAGCATTTGCAGAGCTACCATTTTCAGCCGTTGTTGCTTTCAATATTGAATGCTCAGGAGTTTTAGTTGGTGAACGGCACGTATTGACAGCAGCACATTGCTTTCATGACGGCAAGAGATTTATTCACAAGACGAAGGATATACGTGTAGGCTTCAGGAAGAACAAAACGCTTTCATCATATGACATCAATAACAATCCATCGAAAGCTTTTTACTGGATACGAGTGGCTAAGATCAATCTACCTGCAGCGTGGTCCATGCCTCGATACAGCCGGAAAGGTGCTTTTCTTCCGGTACCACTTCATGATGATTACGCAATTATTGAACTGAAACGCTCACCTGATGATCGGGAACCATTAGGATTTAGCATAAGTTCGCATATGAACGCTGGTGCAGGAACACGCTTGAACATGGGTGCGTTTGATGACACATTGGATATATCTGTAATGATGTACCGCTTTTGTCCAGTGGCATACGAAGAACAGAGCATGACGTACATGTTTTGCGATGCGAAATCCGGTGCGTCAGGCGCGGGCGTTTATATCCGCCAGTGGAATGGCTACCTTGGAGAATTCGAGCGTAAAATTGTCGGCGTGTTTGTGGGAAGTCACGTACTAAGAGAGGGGAGTGGTCGTGAAGAAATAGTGAACGCGGCATTGCGCTTGACTCCCTTGAAGTTTGCTCAGGTGTGTTTCTGGGTCACAGGATCATATAGTGACTGTCATGCTTAATTCCCAATTGCCAGCGATATAACGGATGGTACTTGAATACATAGTAACATTTAGAATAGTACCACTGGTTGGAAAGAAAGTTGATTTTTTTTTCAGTGCTTTTAGGTTAGATAATCGAAAGTTGAAAACTGACCCAGTGAAATTATATTCTATTTGATCCTGAAGTTATAATTCATTGCGATATTTTAACGAGCATCGTCATAAATCAAGAAAGGAAACCATAATGAAATTAACATTGGGGTCTTTTAAAGGGAAATTCAAAACATTTTGTAATTCACAATATAACCATGATTGCTCATTGATAAGTTTAGACCTTTAAAATGGATTTTATCAAAACATATTGTACATATTTCATTATAATTAAATTTATTCGAGGTGTTTTTTTTTTATCAATTAATATTTTGAAACCTCGTGTACGCATTTGATCAATAATTGAAATAAACTGTACGATTTTTAGTACCGTAAATAACCTTTTAATCCTTTGTTTATTGAGTAAAATCGCTTCACAAAAAAAAACTAATAATTTAAACAAAATCAATTTTCAATTTAAAAAAGAAAAATATATAGGCTTCAGTTACGGTATGAACTTCCACTGAAATTTGACACATTTTCACCAAATACCCCGGCCTGTATACGGTTTTCTCATCTTTAAATTGACTACCATACTACCGTAGTCAATTTATGTTTTAAAAGAACAGAGACTATTCGGCAACATGCATAATAAATACAGTAATAATAATATGTTACATTTATAACTCCACCCATTATTTACTTGCGTTTAATTAAATACGGTATTTCCAAGATTTTAGGTTTTCGTAGTAAACGTGTACGCATGGGCATTTGCAAATTTTACAAAATGGGCAGTATTGAATTTGAGCATGGACAAAATATATTTTCTCCATGAAGTTAAATGTTATTATTTAGGCCTATACTGCTGTTATTTTGAGACACAATTTGCTCTTTCCAATATCCAATTAAAATCAAAAACTAAACAAGTAACTCCAATGTATTCAAGGTTATTTTTCAAGTTGTTTCGCTCAGCACAGACGTCACTTTTATGTCAACGATCTTGAGCTGATTAAAGATAAATATAAAAACACCATTAATTAATTTGCTCATGTCAGGTATCGAACTTGTCGATGATTTAAATTGGTCGACATTGAATGTATACAACAATTCTGAATAATATTATTACAGTACAGTAGGCCTACATAACAATATATGGGTGGCCATTAGGGCCAAAATAAACAAAATTCGCACCTATATACCCACATGCGAAACATCTGTTTCCACAAACAAGTCTTCAACTACTGTTAAGATATGCATCGTCTTTTAAATAAAATAGGAATATCGAATACGATAAACTTCATTGTAATGTTCATAACTTGAATTTGAAACAGGGATCATTCAAAACGGGTCAAACATGCAATAAAACAAACTCATGAAGAACATACTTGAAAAATTGCAGAGACAACTCTAAAATCACGTCACCTGTTATTGATTAAAGTTAATATTATGTTCTTACATAAAGCTTTTTCAATAGAAACAAAGGAATCTCAAGTATAGCAAACTGTACGCACATCAATATAGGCTAAAATTAATCCTCGAATTGTTTTTCTCCCAATCTGGCAACAACATGTGGAATACATAAGTTAATCAGATGTTTCAGTAAAAAAATCCACCGTCTGTCTTTACAGAGTTAGGCTTTTTCTGAAATGTTTTTATAGCGTCCTTGGCTATAACAGCAAATGTCGAGGTTGATGCAGAATTATTGAAAAAAATCATGAAAAGGGCACATAAGAAGCGTCAAATGAACGATATTTGGAGTCGCAGTAAACTAAATGTGATGATAACGGTTTAGTTTTTCAGAATCTACCATAAAATGTAAAAAAGTATCGATATAAGTGGCCTGAATTTAGATCCCCCTCCCAATAGCGACTCTGAACACTGATGATTATTGCCAAAAAGCATACAGACCTCGGTGCCCCCTTACTAAAGAACCTCCAATTAAAGACCATTTTTCTGTGCCCCCAAATTAACAGATGTCTCTAACAGATTATTACTCTATTAGAGGTCAAAGCTGGCAAATACCATGGAAACCCCGGTTCCAAAAGTGGTCTTTAATTGGAGGGAGATCTGTAGTTTGGGTAAAAGTCACTGGAATCTTGAACGTTTGGTGTAAGACCCAGGGGTGTAAGACCCAGGGGCATTGTAAAATGTGAACCATAATATAGGCATATGTCAGTATGTACTGTAATTAACAATTATACGTTAAACTTTCGACAACTTGCAGTATCTAAAACAAATACGTAAAAAAATAATTCCACATGATTTGCTATGCGGAGTACCAGAAGGATCTTCAACTTTGGCGTACTAATAATTTGGACTAAATTTGAAATTATTTAAACGGGAAATAATAATTTGATCTGATCACACTGTAATAGCCTACGTAATGATGTTATTGGAGTCTTGTGGTAGTCTGCATGCTATTTTTGAAATAATTGAATGGAAATCGTCATCCTGTAAAGTACGTGTTTTGTTTCAATGACTAAATTTGAATTGAATCTGACAGTAGTCGGAAGTTTAATCTGTCTGCTAAACAAGGCGTACTATACAGTGCAACTTGTAACGTTTCGCAGTTAGAAGAAATTTGTAAATTTCACGTCGGCTACGCGTTTTAGCGTCCACCTCTTCAGTCAAATCGAGGACCTATAGTAGAAGTGGTAACTGGTTTGGGATGTTCCCTTATTGTGGAGGTGCAGTGCTGATAAGAAGCAAGTATGTATTTTCATCGTGGGTTACAATCTACACATAGCCCTATATGAGCCATTACTGAAAACCAGTACGAGTTCCTATTCGTGTCTCTTCTCTGATGCGCAGCAAGATGAGAAGATAATTTCTGTAATTGAAATATCCTTTAAATTATGTCAGTATTAAAGTTTTAATCAATTGCATTATCAGGTGTGCTTGGTTCAATCACTAAAAATATAGGCATGATGGGAAACCAGAATAAACCGGCATACCGGACAACACGGTGTTTATCCAAATAACGTTATTTTTATTGCCAATCCATAATAGGCCTACTGTGGTCTAAAAAGCACAATTTGGGCCACATTAAGCCATACAAACTCTCCCCCTGAACCCTACCAGGTATTTTCATTCCGAGACCCTGTCCGCGGCTCTAGTCGGCCGCTTAGTTCGAACCCTCCTGTCGGGGCATGATGTGGGATCCCTTTCGGCAAAGTTAGCCACCACTGACTTGTACAGATAGCGATAAGATAAGGCCTGAGAAAAACTAATAAAAAAAGAAATAAAAACGTTAGTTTTAAACTAGACAAATAGATGGCTAAGTAAGATGCAGATGAACTTGGCGGTGTTGCGGTCTTTCTCTATACGGGCTGCAGGCCCCTGTAATGTAGACGTTTGATTTTAAAAATTTTGATTACACAGTGTAAAATAATTGTGAAGGATCCATACGAAAGGTCGTGATCCGGAAAATACTACCACACCCGCTAGTATATTTTCTACTTTACTTCTCCATGTCTGAGATTCTTGTAATGCACTGTACGGTTTGAAATCGTGGCAAAAAATTGAATTAAAAAAAACTAAAATTGATTTAATAAGCAAGTGTTTCGGTTGCAGCTTTCTTGGATAATAATGGTACACCGTACCGAGACTTCGTGTTGGTGTATACGGTTTCCTATCAAGTTACGAACTTTTAACTTTCTGTCTGTAACTAGAGGTTAAGCTTTTATCGACCGTTCTAGACCACGGACACGGACAGGATCATATTGTTCTACTGTATTAACACCTGTCGATAAGCCAATAGAGAATCAAAACGAATATTTGGCCTATTATTTTTTGTATTCCTCGAATGGGTGCGATATATCTTTTTAATATCTTTCACTGCATTTGTGTATAAGCGATCCTCTACAAAAATATCTGTCAGTGTTTTATGATGATGGCTTCATGGAGATAATGTTGTTTTTATATAAAATCTTAGAAACTCGAAGAATACATGTCGATGGATTTGTCTGTGTACTATGTAATTGCATCAACGTCTGTCACTCTATCATAACACCTGACTGTCAATTTAAAAAAATTACCGTAATTATTTTAATAATACACATGTAAAAGTTCATTTTCATCTATGATGGTGGTTTCTGTTCTCGTCGTCAATCAAATCTGGAAAATTATCAATAACATGATAATCCTAATATTCAGAAAAGAGTGATTAATGGGGTACATTGAAGCGGTTTGAAAGGTCGAATTTTTCTCAAGGGGCGAACTGTAGACCTATAACACCCATACCATAATTTAACCCTGACACTGAACACCGATACAACCTAAAATGTTTCTGCAGGCAGGGTGCATTAAAACTATATTTAAAAACATTTAAACATAAAATTAGCGACCAAACGGTAATTCTGTGATGAAACATAAGGCCTAGTTACATGAATATTATCGATTTTATTGTGAAGAAATAACATGATGATAAGCATAATCTTGAAGCACAGACCTATCCATCGGGCGTAAAATGCAGGGGTGGCCTCGTCGGAAAAAAGCTGCCAGCCCCCCCCCCCCCGGTCAGGGAGAAAAAACACAATTCGTCGGGAAGGAAAAAAAGTAGCTGTATTTTCTAAAACTCTAAATCGATTAATAAGCCTTTGAAACTCCTAAATTTTCATATTTTTCCTTGGAAGACTTTCGAAAGATATTGAGCGAAGCCCGACCACGCCCACTTTAGGTTGGACGTGACGGAAATGGAAGAATGAAGACAGCACGGTACTGTGGAGAGTATTGGAAGGAGCAGCTGATCTGAGTGCAAATGTTATGTGAGAGTTCGATGATCACACGTGAAGGGTGTTAGCAAAATAAGGTACCATATTAGGGGATTTTTAACTACTTAAGCGTTTTTCTTTTGTACAGCAAATTTCCAGTGGGGGAAGGGCGCCTGGTGTCACATGCCTTTTTTGGGGGTTGGGGGCTCAACCGACCCCTCCCCACGCACGTCATTGCAGTTGGATTATTTTAAGAAAAATTAAAATAGAAAAACAACATTGCCTGCTGGAACTGTTAAATATCTGAATTTTCCACATAACGTTGTTTTTCCAACACAGAGTAGGCCTACTAAAAGTTAGATAGGCTCTAGGCCTACCTTTAAAAATACATAGAAATAGTGGTATCCAGTGTGGGTCCAAGATATTATGTGGGGGGGGGGGGTGCGTGGAAGTGTTCTGATCGAAGCAAAGAACCAAATGCTGGGGGCCAGGGACCGCGAAGGGCAAACGGTGAGGGTTTACAATATGGCTATATAAATTGCAATCTTACGTGACCGCAGCCCGTTGCTCTCAAATAATATTGTATCAAGTGAAATTTTTATGGAATTGATGAATCAAGATGAACATCATATTGTTTTATAGCAGTTTATTCATTATACGGAACATTTTAAACCATGATGAATATATTTTATTTTGTATCTTAATAAGAATTACAGTTAAATTCTAGAAACATGAATAACCAGGAACGGGATTGTACTTTTAGCCATTGTGTTGCAACAAGAAAAGTGTGTAGAGAATACTTTGAGTTTGTATAAATGCCTGTGATTGCCAATATGTATAGGCCTACTGTACTGTAAACTAAAACTACACAATATATAAACATCCATTGAGTGATTTTAGAAGAACAACAGCGAAGCGAACATTTCTCGGTGGAATTAGAAGTCGCCCGTAGTTTTGCAAGTGAAAACTACGAAGCGGTTAAGCTGAATTCAAGCAATCATCGACATGTGAAATGTCAATAAACCTCATTAGCCACCTCGGGGAGGGGGGCAGTGGGGAAGGCCAAAATCTGGGGCCCCCGCCTACATTTCTATAGAATCAACACACTGTAAAATGTATCTGCTGTTAAAGATACTGTGATCTGACAAACGAAAACTTTCACTTGAAAATAGAATTGCTCATTTTTTATCATGTTTTATATTTGCAATTCATGATGAT